GATTGCTTCAAAGCCTCAAAACCCTCTCATTGTCGATCACTGTAAAACGCAAATGATGACGTCATATCCGGAAATTTCGGAAACCCCAAAACCCTAACGTCTAGATTTCGCGATTTTTGCAGATTTTGAAAGCCAATAAAGAGTGTGATCGGGGTGTGATCCCAATTATGGAGATATGTCGAATTAAGATATTTCACAGCAAGTGATGTCTATAGACCCGACCAAAATTTAATTGCGGCTCGGGAATTGGAAATCTACGATTTGATATTTTTGTTTGTACATGTGGAACTTCCACGTACATACATGATATTGGAAATTCGCGAATCAACAATTTAGCGGGCTGCGCTTGTGTGTAGGCATTAATTGAAATGATGCATGCACTTGCATGTAAATATATTGACGGTACCGTACTACGTAGTACCTAGTTGATTCAACTATAGGAGCTATAAGGCTTAGTGCATGTGCTCTTCCGAGCTACATTCGTCGACTTAGCCGACCACGGCTCCGAACCGACGTTAAATCAACTAAATCTAAATCTAAATCTATATACGGTATACATATAATGCATGTGCATGTTTTGGTCGGATATACTAAGTAGCTTGTGACAGTACATGCTCAGCCTAGCAGGCTAGCGCGCGCGCTTGCAAGCTATGTTTACGTATTATAAGCGGCGCGCAATCAAGTAAATTTGCTGCAAGCACGTACAGCATATATCATTGCAGTCACGTACTATGTTCGCGAGCGATATACCTATTGCGATATATAACATACAATTAGGATACATGTGTATTTTGTACTCCTAATCGATAGCTATATAGTGAGTCGGCCGCCATATATATATGCATGCACTATGCATTTGATGCATGGTACGTAATTGCGCAGGTGGATCATACAGTCGATTGGCATCGATCATTCATTAAATATATATTATTGCGCGGCAACATCGATGACTCTGAATACATTTTGTAGCTATCGATCAATGATTCCAACTCGAACCTTCTGCAAATGTAATGAGTATCAGTCGGAGAGCAGTTGACGACTCCAATTGGCCCATCTACTGTGCATGCAAGTACTTTGGAAGAATTGCCAGTGGGACATGTTGGACGTACACTTCCACGTACGTGACTGCCATAATAACAGACCTACCATGCCAACGGGTCCACATTACTCGAATGCATGGGCTTTAGGAGCGATACTCATCTGAAATTCGCTTAAAGATTCCCCTTTGCCCATTATACCCATGTGGATGATGTGGGGTTGTTGCGCATCCACGATCGGAACTGTGGATGAGGGTGCAGCGATGCTATTGCTTCCGGCCTTTAACTTGGAAAGAAGCTGTTCCCTTGGACGCCTTTTTCCTATCCGCTTTCTTTGATGGGCCATCTTTTCCTTGTGGGAGCCTCCGCTTTTCCCTTACTTTGACGGAGCCTCCCTTCGGAGATGCTGCACTTGTCGGCGTCCATACCTTCGCTTTCCTAGCTGCGACAGCTGGTCGTTTTCCTGCCCGTTTACGGTTCTCCGGCTGCCCCTCCGCACCAGACGGCGTCTTCTTCCCTTTTGTCGCCCCGGCTTGCTTACTCCCTTTTCCTCGAGGCCCTGCCACCTCCGCCCTGCCTCCCCCTTTCCCTGGTTTCCCGTCTGCCTTCTTCGCGTACGCCCCCTCCCACGACGCACGCCCCTTGGGGTGCGTGCCTCCTTGCGGTGCTGCCGCTCGCTGCGGCTGCGGCCTGGCGCTCGCCGATCGTGCTTTCCCCGAGCTGGTCGTCAGCTTGGTGCGCGCCTTGAGCTTGGCCCCCGGTCGCGTCAGCCGCAGCGGCCGGTCGCGCACTGTGATGCTGCTGGCGATGGCCACCTTCGAGGCAGCCTGCAGGAGAGGAGCCGCAGGGATTGAGCACCTGCGGCTGATACTCCTAAATGCAAGGAGAACAAAGCAGTCTGCAATCCAAGGCGTCGTTGACGAACAATACTTATCTCTTTTTGAACATCACAACTCCTCGCGTCCTTTTTGAACACGGGGTGTTTTGCCTAGTAGCTCTCATGACTTTCCGCGAGAAACCAACTGGTGTGTCCATCCCGAGATCGCGTCTCCTGTTCACCAAGTATATGTTTTCACTCTCGCTAGGAAGGCGCGCTGGCAGTCGGGTAACTGACCCTGGACTTGAACATGACGTAGGCAATCCCCTTGCCCAGCCCAGTGGCCTTGTCCCGCACCACGCGCACCGCCTCCAGCGCGCCCTGTAGCTCGCTCGGCGCGCCCGCCCCGGAGAAGGCCGCAATCACCTCCTCGTCCTGGCGCATGGTGGGCAGCACACGAGTAAGGGGTCGGTACAGTGGTCGTATGCGGGCATGTGCTCTAAAAGTGAAGAAACCCATCGAAGTCCCCACTATCAAGGAGATGCAGGCCTTCAGCCTGGCACGGTCATGGTCAAAGGGCACCCAGATGGCAGGCGAGACAAATATGCCAGTGTCAAGTTGTGGCAAAAGACGCGTGCGCCATGGCCTGAGTTTGGCCGGCGGCCACAGCAATGCGGGCGGGGCAGCTGGGTGTGTCACCTTGACATCAAAGGGCAGGTTGCCCACAAACACGGACAGCAGGCGGTCGTACTCCACAGATGGGGCAGCGCCCTCCGCCCGGCGCACTGGAGCAGCAACGTCCACGCGCAGGTGGCGGCCCAGGTACTGCAGGACGAGGGCAGCAAGATAAGACAGCAAGGTGGAGCGGGCAGCACAGGAGCTGCGCACGGCTTCGCCTAGGCTACGCAACGAGAAGCAGCTGTGAGTCTTTTCAAACGACTCAAGGTCTGTTCCACCAGCTCAATGGCAAGCTCGGGGAAGTAGCCATAGCAAGCATGAGGATAGCCACCTCGTCCTGCACGTCCTGCGCCAGTGCACCCGTGCGCCACGCCTCACCTCCTTCATGTTGTGCGCCAGTGCCTTCCGAGAGGTCTCCTCATCCTCAAAGACGACGTAGGCGTTCACACTGCAAAGCTGGGCGTTGAAGTCAGTACAGACGCCTTACACAGACCTTCGACAAAGGCTATGTGGGCCAGAGGCCCAAGCTCCTGGCCTCTTGCTGGCGGCGTACGGCCAGCGGCCCCCTCCCCGTGACGCGCTTCTCACCTGTCCTTCACGTCGCTGACCTGGCCCGTCAGCACGGCCGCCTTGCGGGGCAGCTTGCTCTGCACACCACACAGCGTGTCAGCACTGGTGGCCCAAGGAGCAAGCTGACCTCGAGTTGGATAGTCTGCAACAGACTGCCCGATGCAGTCCCCAACTCCTGGATGCGATTACGTGCAAGAGGTGGGCAAGCAAGTTGATCTCCTCACACTTGGACAATTGCCAGAGAATAGAGTTGCCGAGTTGAAGGGGCACCTGGTCATGTGACTCAAGCCACCTCTTTCCAACTAAGCATTGATGCAATCCAGGCTTTCAATGTAATTCTCGGATTACATGGAGCAGGAGCATCGGCGCCGGCCTGGAAGAAAGCCCAGCGGCCCTGCGTTTTTGTTTCCTGTCTGCCTCACCTCCTGAAGCGCCAACGAGCGCAGGCGCACCGACTCAACCGGCCCATACTGCGCAAACTCCTTCTTGAGCTCCTTCTTCTTGACCGACGCCGGCAGGTTGCCCACAAAGACCGTGCGCGGCAGCTTGTCCTTCTCGCTGCGCTTGCGCCGCTTGGCCGCCTGCCGCTTCTCCACCGCTGCCTCGCCCCGCACATCGTCATCGCTGTCGCCGGACGGCCTGGCCTTCTTCTTCTTGGTCACCTGCAGAAAAAACAGACCAAGTGAGACGCGGATTCATCGGTTCATCTGTGATGGAAACATTGGCCTCAGCCTTCAGTTATCACTGTCTAATGTAAGCACTCTCCACAAGACCTTCAGCAGCATCTGTCAACTGGATCTGGATTGGGCAGACAAGTTGCAGTCTGGGCAAGCTCTGCTGTGTCTCACCGGTGCGTCCGGTGCGTCCTCCTGCTCCCCTGCGTGCCTGGCGGGCGCCTCCTCCCCCTCGTCCCCCCGGCCCCGCTTGCGCCGCACCTGCTCCGCCCTCTGTCGCAGTGCCAACCGCTCCAGCGCCTCCTCATGCCCCAGCTCGCTGCCGTTTGCTGCCACCACTTGCTGTGCCTCTTTCGGTTCGCTCTTCAGCACTCCCCCTCTCTGGCTTGCAAGCAACGTGGCGCCACTTTGAAGGGGCCCCTGTCGCTTCCCTGCACGGCGTTCCGCCTTCCCCTGCTTTGCCCGATGCTCTCCTTCCGCTTGTCCCTTGTCCGCTCGGCTCACCACCCCTGCATCAGGCTGTTTCTCCTGGTGCAGGTGCGGTCCTTGTTCCCCTGGAAAAGATGCATTTTCGGTGCCCCTCTTTGCCTTCTTAGCTGCTTGATGACCAGCATGGGTGGCAGCTACTACATCCTTCTCTGCCTCAGAAGCTCGGCCAGCACCTCGCTTCTTCTTTCTGTCCGCTTGCTCATCGACCTGCTCCATTGACTTAGTCTCTGCAGCTGACTTACTTGTATCAAACTCTGTGCGTTGAACTTTTTGCATCTTATTTTGCATTGCATCTTGCCTCTTCATTTTCTTTGGGTGCTCCTCCTCCCCCTTCCCACCAGCACCACCCTCAGTCGGGGCCATTCGCGGAAGCACTCCATCGCTATCTCCGCTTTGCGCACTCCCATGCTCGTCCGCCCTCCTGCGAAATGCATTGGACGAGCTGAAAAGCCCCTTGCTGTGTTCTGGCCCTCCAAAAAGGTTCCCAAAGAGCGAAGTCATTGCAGTCGCACTAAGTAGTAGAGATGTCAATTGACTCAAAGGGAATCCGCGTGGACGCCCGCACACTCGAAGGTGTGCTCCCTCCGATCCCAGGATCTTTACAACAGCTCAATGCTCATTGTCACCACTCCCATCAAACTATCAACGAATAGCGGGCCATCCACCAGCAGGTCAAGCCCGACTTCTCCAACATCTTTCAAAATATAACACCGTTTCTTAAAGACATTTCTCATCATTAACTATAATACCTACTTTTGATCAGCACAGCTACGGAAGGATCGTCTGGAGAAAAGGAAGACACCATGCTCTGCAACCGCCTGCAAATTGCAATGCATTGGATTTCAAACTTGTAACTTTCAATGAAAGCTGATGTCAAGGCCGATCGGTCGGATGATACGGTAACCGTTAAACGGAGAAGGCCTTGCGGAGCCAGCGATCTTCGAGTCTGGCCCGGCCGGACTCACCCGCGGTAATGGTGGAGGCACAAGGATTAAAAATTGTTTATATACTATAAGAACTGAACGTAGCTAACCATCTCATCCGTTGTAGTCTAGTCGGTTAGGATACGCGGCTCTCACCCGCGCGACCCGGGTTCAAATCCCGGCAACGGAATTTTTTGTTCGACTCTCTCCTTCAGGTTAAATTGTTGCTGAAAAGCTCCGACTTTCTCAGGTTTCTGCTGTTTCTGTCACTTAGGTCTTTGCTTCTTCCGAGTTTCTCTGGCCTGACGGCGTGCAAGGAGATGGCGGTTGCCTTCGCCCCAGCTGCATCTGTGACGAGCTGTGGAGGAGGGTGCTTCAATGGTGGTGGTGAGCGCTCGACCTTGTCAGAGAGACACAACTGAATGATTTGTGCCTGGTCGGCCCCGGCCCTTTGTTTTGGATATGCAAGGCAAGACCCTTGAGGACCTTCGCAATGACACAGCATTCTTGGTTGCTTACGTGTTGGTAAGTCCAGCTCACATTGGCACTTCAACTGGAACTATCGTACATGTCTGACTCCCTGTCCATCCAATGCAGGTCGCACATCCGTGCCCCACCCTGCTCTTCCCTTGACGTCCCTACCGGCGACTTATGCAATTGACAAGTTTTTTGGGCAGCCATGTGGCACGAGGCTTGTCTCCAGTGCACCACTCTCTCGAGCGCCGTTTCTTTCCATTTCTGAGCATGGGCTGCGGCTGGTGCGGTCACCTGGTGGTCCCCAGCTCAGGGCATTGAAAGAGCGCTTTGCGGACCTTAACCTGGGCGGGGATGTCCCCGACGATGACATGCTGGAGGACGGCAGCTTCTTGCTGGCGCAAGACCTGGAGCGCAGGCCCGCACCCCGCGGGTTTGGGCAGGGCACGGTGTATGACACCAGCGTGGAGGATGCGCTGATGCGGGATTTGGAGGCCGGCAGAGCAGGCCTGAAGAAACCACGGCAGGCGGGTGACGCGCCAGCAGTGGCGCGGAGTGAGCCAGGCAGCGGAAGGAAGAAGAGGCCACCACTCCGTGAGTGCCCCAGGCGACTGCCGCTTGTTCTCATGGAGCACTCCCGCGTAATCTGGCTTGTGTGCTGTTCTCCGATGATCCACCATTACCAGCTTGGGTGAAGGAATTCGCTTGAATGGTTCACAACTACTACTCCGGCTTGTCATCTTGTTGAGGTGTTTAGTTGTGCAGCAAGTACACACCTGTGTTGCTGTCCAGCTGTGAACTTATCCTGCTACAATTCTGCTGTGAAAGACCGGCATTGCAAGTTATCAACAGTTGCTCTTCCCCCTCCCTAATATGAAAACATCAGAAACAGCCCACGCACATGCAATGTCTTTACTGCCCGGCTGGCGGACGCACTTTTGCATCTTGTACCACCTCCACCATCGCGCGCATCAAAGAGTCTGCACACTGGCGTGGTGGTATAGCCTTGCGCAGCAAAGGCGAGTGTGGCCACTGAGGTGGTCGCACCCTCAGGGCGGGTCTGATGCGCTGGGCTGCCATGCTGCGCGGGGTACATTGACTGCCCGTGTGTGTGGCTGTACAGCCCCCCCTGCGGCGCACTCGGGGCCCTTCCCGTGGCTGCTGCGTGGCACGCCGGAGGACAAGTACCCCCCCAACACGCCGGCGGGGGTGAAGGTGGCGGTGGGCAACCTGCCGCGCAAGAAGAAGGTGGGGCGCGACCTGCGCAAGGCCCTGGCGGCCGTCCCGGGGCTGCTCGTCATCCGACCCGCAGAGGAGGGGGACCGTGACACGCGCGATTGCACCTGCAAAGGCTCCGCCACCCTCATCTTTGAAGACCAGCAGTACGCAGCGGGGTGAGTGGGGCAAACGCAGCCGGCTCTCGTGTAGGTGATGGAGGTGGCTGAAGCTTTGGCTTTTTCAGATGAAGTAAAGCACTGTTCTCACCGGGTCTGATGGGCGTCCAAGTGTCAGGCTAACTGTGCTTGTCAATATTGTGTGGGCCACATCGAGATACTCTTTGCAACCTTGGGTGCAGCTTCTGCACGTCGTTCCAGGGACGTGCGATCCAGTTTGGCAAGATCGAGCGGCGCATCACCGCCAAGCTGGCCGACAAGCGGCAGCAGCTGCTCCTGGTGGAGGCCTCCGCTGTGAATGACGAGGACAGCGACGAGGACGAGGAAGACGATGTGGACGAGCTGATTGAGGAGGGCCGCAAGAAAGGTGAGAGACACTCTGCCCTTGACATGGCAGCTATTAGGAGGAAGAGGCAGGAACGTAGTCGAGTTGTTATTCCTGCTGTTCGAAGTAGACAGTCAAGTGGGGGCTTGTGGGCTTAATCTCTCCTGCCGTTACTTAGACAGCAACAGGACACTGAAAGTCAAGTGCCAGGATAAACCTCCAATCTAAGTAAGCAGTCCAATTGCATTTGCGTCAAGGTGGTTTGTGATTTACGAATGCTCCGTGCTAGTCCCATTCAGTCTTCAGGATATCACTTTCTTGTTATGTCGTGTGAAAAAAGGGTTTGCTCAAGTTCCGCCTGTCTTGTCAAACTGCTCCGGAGAAGCGGTTGTGAAAGTTTGTTTGTCCTGCGTGTGCTTCGAACCGGCACTGCAAAGACTCTCGGGCACTCTGGCATTTCAGTCACCATTCCGCTTGTTTCATCTATGCCAGCAGTTTGTTTGTGTTGTTGCAACAGAAAGCCGGGTGCTTTAACTACTGGTGTTACAGACAAAAGAGCTCCGCTTCTGTCGCTCTTGTCAAAGCCATGCATGCTGGACTTGCTCCGGGTCAGCCTCGACATGCGCAAAGACCGTGCTCGAGCCCGTGTCTCTTGTTCAAGGCCTCCAAGTTGGGTGCGGTAGTGATGGTCGTCCTTGGTGTCGTCCGCAGGTGCGGAGCAGCTGCAGCAGCAGCGCACTCTGGAGGAGGAGGCCGGCCGGCACGCGCTGCTCGAGGGCAGCCCCCCGCATGACGAGGCCGAGCTGCAGGCAGCCACGGTGAAATCCCCAAAGGAGGCCCCCCCCGCCCAGGCGGCACCAGACCGCTCTCCCGCGACAAACTCGGAAAGCAGACGCGTTGACCAGCTGGTGCGGGACGGGCAGGAGGCGGGGGCGGCGCAGCTACGGAAGCAGCGGCGGTCGAGAGGAGACGGGCGGCACACGTGCGCTGCTGGGGACGCAGGCAGCAGGGAAGGCGCTCCCGGCCAGCAAGGACGGCGAGGACGGGCGCTCGGCGGCCTTGAGTGGGAATGTGGCAGAGGCGGGCGGGGCGAGGGCGGGGCCGACGCTGGCGCGCGCGGTGCAGCTGGCCGCGGCGGCGGACAAGGACGCGGAGAAGGGCGAGGGCGAGAACATCGATGACCTGTTCGACGACGAGGACCTCGCCGACGCGGCACTGGACGATGATGGTGATGAAGAGGAAGGTGAGCGCATCGCAACGATCCCTGCCCTTGGAATTCTGCTCTTGAGGCGCTTCCAAGTCTGCCAGCGGCCGTGCCAGCCGGATGCCGCCAAGACCTGCCAACTCTGACTGTGTGGAGGCGAGGTCGTTCGGTCAGCGGCGGACCTTCATTCTGGGCCGAAGCGCAAGGAGAGGCATGGAAAGGTCGCTTGTCCTGCTTCGAGAGCAAGGTCTTGCTGCGGCTCCGTGCTTGCTCACCGGGCTGCCTGCCGTCGTGCCTTGCAGGTGAGTGGGACGAGGAGGCGGGGGCCGAGTGGGGCGAGGAGGACGAGGACGGGGACTGGGAGGAGGACGAGGAAGACGGGGCAGCGGAGGTGGAAATATCGGACTGCGCCCCGGGGGAGGAACTCGGTGGGTGTGCTCTCTGGAAGCCATGGAGCCCCCTTGCCTGGTCTGTTCGACGGCCTGAAGTCAGTTGTTGTCTCGGGAGTCGATGATTTTTCAGTACGCATCGAAGACCTGCCTTTCTGGATTAGATTAGCCCTCTGGTAACAGAGCACCAGGACGGGTGTGCGCCTGGGCTTGCGCCTGCGGCCTCCAATGTGATGCGCGTGTGTGGCTGTTCGTGTGCAGCGCCGCGGTCAGCGCGCGTGACCAAGCTGCTGGACGACGGCACGCTCATCGTGCGCGGCCAGGAGGTGGGCCGGGTCGACCCGCGGGCCGCGAAAGACGGACAGCTGCCCGTGCCGGTATGACATGGCACTGGATCCCTGCTTGGCACGCATTGATCGGAAATCGGCCCAAATGAAGATGTTATTGGTTTGGATTTGAGCACTCTACGGTAGTGAGGCGGACGCTGCCAGCGCATGGCCACCTCAGGGATCCTACCAGAGTACCAGTTCCCTTTCCTGTTGGGAAGATTGTCAGCAGCACGACGGAGAGCGTCATACATGTTAGCTCGCAGACAGTGCAGTTGACCCCGTGGCCGCACCTTGTGCGCAGGAGGAGGTGGCTGCCCGCATCGCAGAGGTGACGGGAGGAGCAGCGGTAGAGGTGGAGCTGGTGACAGAGTCGGCGCTCGCGCAGAAGCGCGCGTTTGAGGAGAAGCTGGTCGCGTGGCACTTCGGCCAGCTGCCCGGCTTCCAGGGCGCGGAGCGGCCCAGCCAGGACGACGTCACCGTCACGTGGGACAGTGCCAACCGGACGATGGTGCGCGGGGGCGGCTTCGACAAGGCAAAGCACAAGCGGCTGAAGAAGCTGCAGCGGGAGCCGCAGAACGTGCAGGAGCTGGTGCAAGGGAGGGGGGGGGCCGGGGCGCAGGCCGAGCGAGACACGAGCCGATCAGACATGTCGGACGAGGAAGAGGGGGCGTTCGAGTTGGACGACGAATTTGAGGAGGAGGAATGGGTCCTCGACGAGAGCGATGACGAAGGGGAGGAAGAAGCGGAAGGGGCGAGAAGCGCGCGGTCAAGTGGCGGGGACAGGGAGGGCGGCGCGGGGCCGAGTGCGAGCGTGAAGGTTCCGGTGGGCAAGCTGGACTACCGCGAGCTGCTGGCCGCGGAGAAGCGCGAGCTGGCGGCGGGCATCGCAAGGCTGAAGGCGGCGGGCAAGGCCGTGCCGGAGCCGTCCCCCGAGGTGCTGGAGCTGGTGAGCGCGCTGCTGGCCAACCCGGGCATGTTCGACGACGACGACGAGGAGGAGCAAGCCGCGCCGGCGAAGAAGGCGGGGAGCGGCAGGCCGGGGAGGGGGCCGCGGAGCGGGCAGGCGAGAGGCGGGAAGCCGGAAGGCGAGAGTCGGCAAAGAGAGGGATCGCAAAGCAGGTGAGGAGCAGGCATCCTTTGCTATCAATACGGTCAGCTTATCCCAGTCCGTCTGCCGACTTCCTTATCCATCCACTGCAAACGCACCAGGATTCAATCACCTTTAGGCTGCAAGTGTGGTCGAGTTGCAGCGTAGACCCGTAAGGAATGAGCTTAAAATGCTCAACCTATTCTCTCTGAAAGACCTACGAGAAATGGGGTCTAAGTATAGGTCGTTGTTCTGGCGATTGCCGTGCATTTTCACAATGGAGCGTTCCTCTCACGTTGTCTATATGGACTGCTTTTCAGCGACCTTATTGGCAGCCTGCCTGTTGGCTGCTCCTCAAAACGTCTTTGCTCAAGTGAAATAAACCGATCCGTAAGGCTTACTCTAATTTCAAGGGACGTCTCTGCAGGCCGGCTAATGGAGCCCCTGAAAGCAAGAAATCTCGAAACAAGCGTCCAAGCAAGCCCCAATATGGTAAACTAATAGCGAACCTCCCAAAGACTCTATAACCGGGTTGGACGCGCTTATGAAAAGGGTCCCCAGACGCGTTTGATCAAGTTAACCAGAATTACACGCGGATACGTTCAATACTACGTGCATGAGATTGAGCAGGCGAGACGTACTCGAGCATGATCAGTCATTCATGATTTGATTTGGCACTGGTCGGCTCTTGCGGCTTTATTGTACATGCAATGTGCGAGTGCCATTTACGAGTATGTTCAACATACGGTTTGCGCACGAATGGTGCCGCATGTGTTTGCCTTGCCTACTTATTTTGAGCGCATATTGTTTGTTCGATCGTTTATTTTTTCATTCATATACCGGTATACCCGCGATCGAGTAATCAATTCTTAGAGATCGTGATGACAATACTGCTAATCCCGGCGCTAATAATACACTGTCAATAGACGGCATTATATAAGGCACCTATAAATCCAACTTACTGAGTTCATGATCGAGATCGCGATATATCAGTACAACGTTTCAGATTGCATGCAGACCATTAGTATACAGCGGGCGCGCGCTGCAACGTACAATTGTGGGCCAGCGGCCGGGTCTAGCGCAGTGACATGTGATGCGTCCACTGTACGTCTACCCTGTACTGCATACGTCTGTATACCGGCGTCGGCCGCGCCAGCATGGCCGGTGGGAAAAGCTCCATATATAATGCATGCATGCGTCGAAAACATGATCGCGCGTACGCTAATCATTTATAAATCCGAATATACAATCCGGATTCCATCGCTGTTGACAGTCGAAGTGCTGAACATTACATAGCAATGTAGAACCAATGATTTTTCTTAGTAGGTCACAACGGCCTTGCCACAACCATCTTTTGTGATTACTGAGTTGTTCAGCTCAGGAATGACAGCTGCGAATTCGAGAGGTGATGCTTTGCTAAGCGCAGCGCTGCACCAGGAAACGTCGAGATCGTAGGTTTTGAAGGTGCAATGGCTGAGGCCACCTTGGGTGTCCGGTCTTGATCGGTGGTCTTATCAGGTACCCGGAGGTGCGGCGCTACCGGCCGGTTCGCTTTTTCTTCGCTTCATATCTTGACTAGCAGCGGGGTCCTCCCTGCAACAGCAAGGCAAAAAGCCGTTTCATCCGAACAGGCTGGCTGCAAAGCTTGACTTATGCAGTTCAAGCACCAGTCACACAACTCCATCTCAGGCGAGAGTCTCCGCAAAGTCCTACTTGTCACAGCACGCCTTCTAGCGCGCGTATGTAGATCGGCTTCCATCTCAAAGTTCCAGAGTCCGACAGAGTATTTGACGGTGGCTCACTCGGGTGGCGCCTCCCTCGACTGCACGTCGTGGCTCGCCCGCTTCTGCTTTTGCTGCTGCTTCCGCGCCTTCTTCTCCTCGCGCTTCCGACTCCTGCACACCCAAGCACAACCCACGCTCGGCGTTGCACGCTCACCGCGTCGGCTCACACCATGATGGCAAAACCACCCCAAAGGGCAAGCAAACACGGCGGCCTCGTCTTGCACATCAGCGGTGTCGCAGGGTGTACGTGGTGGGCATGCGCTTCTGTGCTGGCCCACGCTTGGCCGAAAGCCTGTGTGTTGAACGGTCTAGAGAGGTGTGCCTCACTCGAGCTCCCGCCACAGCTCTGGCTTGCGGCAAAACTTGCCCTGCCGGTCCAGCTTCTGCACGGCCGCCACCTCCGGCAGCGGGCCCGCACTTGATACCTGCACGCGCCAGGCACGCTTAGCGAGAGCGGGGCAGGATCGGCGGGGAGGGGCACACCCGCTTGTTTTAAAAGTGTACTGGTGTACTTGCCGGATGAAGGGCAGTAAGAACATGTCGCTGCGGGTTATGCGACGACCTTCAAACACTTGAAAGTTGCACGATCGAGGATGCGGCGAGAGTCGGGGAATTTGAGGAAGTGCAGTTTGCCGGCAAGGCGGCTTTGGCAAGAGCTCGAACACGTGTCGCCTCCTGGACAAGCGTGATACGAAGCAAGCAGGCGTCCGTTTGAGTGTGCAAGGATGGCAGTCAGTGCACCCAACAAGACTACGTCGGGCTATTTTCCACAATTCGACGGGTCGCCATTTCGGCTCCCCCGGGGCCTGCTGGCCTCACCATGGCAGTGATGTCATCCAGCGTGGCGCTGAGCCGGTCCAGTGACTCCGCCCCCTGCAGCCGCTCCAAAGTCTCCTTCACATACCTGCCAGCCAATGCAGCCGCAGTCAGGTGAGCCAGGTCACAGCACGACAGCGGCTAGAACGGCTGGCGAGATACATACCCTCGTCGATTGCAGCAGGCTGTGACCAAACGGGCAAGCCCCGCTACTAGTGCACACACACTGATGGCAACACTTCGACACCAGGTGCAGTTTGTCTCGGCAACTCCGTGGGTCGCGCTCACCCTGTGATTCTCTCTTTCCTCTCCCGTTGGGCATACACACGCAGGGCCGCAAGAGCAATCTGCAGGGAGGGGCAAAAATCTGCGCCACTGTTGCGGACCTGCTGTCATCGAAGTGAGCCCTTCAGCTGATGAAAGGTTGCGGACATCCAACTCTTTCCTCTAGCAATCCACTCATGCGCAGAAGATTGGACCGTCTCCGACATGCTCCACATGGCAGGCGTACAGGTCGTAGCAAGTACTAAACTGCCCAGTCACGATTGATCGCACACTCGCCTAATCGACGAACCTGATTAGTAAGAACCTCCCTACATGGTGTCCCCAGTCTGGCCGGAAATGGGAGTCGATCGATAGAAGTTCTCTTCGAGCACAGATTCGCTTCTTATTCTGTGCCTGGTCCCTGCTTGCGCTTTGCGTGGCCTCACCTGGCCCGGCAGGAACATGAGGCTGGCGTCCGTGCGCATGGCCTCGTCGAGCCAGTCGCGCCCGCTGGTCGACGCGGCGGCCCTCTCCTCAGACGACACCAGGCTGCGCTCCTGCCAAGAGAATGCAGGCTGACCGAATGCCGCACCCTGATCGACCAGAACAAAAAGAGTGCACGCGCAGAAACATCAAACCGTCGACTATGATAAAGAGCACCACGAAACCAGGATCATAATTTCGGCACAGAGTAGTCTCATACCGAGCAGGGTCAAGCTGGCAGTACAACAGTTCCCGATCATGCGGTGCCCTGCCAAACAACACACGAACTTGGCCATCAAAAGGAGGGGGCAACTGATATGTGGAACCCATGCTGCAATCCTCGCTCAGGTTCTCTGAACGTAAAGCTTGCAATCATTTTGCAGGACGATCCTCACCTCCATGTCGTGACAGAAACCCTCGAGCGCCCGGTACGGAGGGAAGACGATCAAATCGAAGTCTAGGGCCTGCGCTGAACAGGAGGACACGAATCAGGTTGTACCTCAACCAGAAGGGTGAGCCCAGCATCGATGATCGTAAGCGGTATCGACCAACAGTACAAGATTCGCCTACATCTAGTACCGTTGAAACCCAGTATCTGCATGTACCTGGACAGCCGAGGGCCCTCGCAACTTGCTGTCCACAACGCCGAATCTTACTGACGCAGACATGTGTAGTTCCAGTAACAGACGCCAATGAAGGCTGCGGACGGTGGTCTGCCAGGGTATGTGTGAAAGCTGCCAGCAGGCGCGCTGACCTGCAGCACGGGCAGCTCGTTCTTGAGCACGGCGGCGGGGTCCTGCTTGATGCCCTTGCCAAACTCGTCAGCCGACACGTGGCTCTCCTCCACCTTGCACGCCAGGTACACGCACGTCAACCTGGCAAGCACCAACACCACACGCGCCGCAGTCAAAGCCTGCCCACCAGGACAGCGACGGCGCGCAGCCTGACAGTGGATAAGGTTCGCCATACAGCTGCAGTCTGCTTACCGTTGATTGACGACTAGGACGAGGGGCTACCGCGTCAAGGAGAAGGAGAGGAAAAGAACAAATGAGGGGGCTGCTTATGTGGCTTACATGATGTCCTTGGGGTCCACGTCCATGACGGAGTGGTGCAGGTAGAAGCGCTTGAAGTACAGAAGGGCGGTCGCCTGCAACAGGGCAGACCAATGGTGGGGGGGAATGGCAAGAGGAGGAGGGGGCTGCTGAATGGGACCGTTGACACACAAAGGTCTGCGGAATGGCCAAAGACCAAAGGACGACAGGGCAACGAGCGAACGAATCGCTATGGACCTTTGCTCCGAGCGGAGCAGTTCCCATATCCAGTGCGTCACCTGTATTTTGTGCGGGAAGGAGAAGGCCTTGCACACGGGCTGCAGCTTGCCCTCATAGTGCCGGCGCAGTACCGCCTCATCTGCCACGCTCAACACCGCAGGCAGCGCAGGGGCAGCTCCGCCTGGAGCGCAAGACACAATCACTCAGCATGGCAGTGGGATGGCCAGACAGCTGCTTAACATGCTGACATGGGCTATTTGCAAGATCGTGAATTCCTGTGCAGGGACCGTTGGGAGTTCACCTTGGGATGGCCCAGCTCCAGGAAGCCCCCCTTCCGCTCTGCCCGTGTCCGGAAGCCCAGCCTGAGCGTCAAGGTCCGTGCTGCCAAACTGCAAAGAGCAGCCAAGACTTTGAGGCAGACAGAGCTTGGCTGCCACTTGCTGATGTTCATCAAAGCCCAAAATCAGCATGGCCTATATGCGCGCAGAACCACAAGCACACCTTAGGCCCAGCGGTTCTTTCAGCATTACATACCTTGATGAGAGCTTCTGCGCTCTTCTTGTTGCAGCTGGCCCTCTTGCTATGCTGAAAACATGCACAACTGAAACGGTCAGGGTCTGGTGCAAACATGTATCTATCATCCCTGATGGCTTATAATGTTCCAGATTGTTGCAAGGGAGCTCACATGACAAGTGGTGCACTTGGACCTCCCCTCCGGACAGGGAATTCTTTCAAAGAGGAGCCTCGAAAGAGTGGCGTCGCAAAGACCGCCAAGATGATGGGCACCAAGACTGATCATCAACAGTCCAGATCAATCAAGAATCTGAAGTATGAAGGTGGTGGCATTGCAGTGCTAGTGTGGCAGTGGATGTGTCAACTCACTATTTCCTCTGCACTGAAAATCCATCGCTTCTTTTGGGAAGATGTGCTGAAGTCTGCCATGTAAGCAGCGCCACAGCCACTACAGGAAAGGAGAAGATCACGTGGTGGTATGTAAAGATGCTTGCAAAGGCTGCCAGAAGTGTGACTTAATGCATAGAGTTTCGACATGGTGCTTGCGCCAAATTGTGAACGACAGCTTGTTGGTTGGTAAGGCAGTCACCGACTCGACTTCTGAACATGCTTCAACATGAAAGCCAGCAAAGAGTCAAGTCCTGCAGGAAGGCCAATCAGATGCACATTTGCATATGTATGATCAGGACACTACATAAAGGCAACATTGGGAGAGGCACAATTGTCATGACTAACCATACCTGTTCTCAACTGGGGAAGGGTGCTTGCCTAAGCCCACCACCGGATGCAGCTAGGCAGAATTCTCCCCACCGCTGCTCTCGTACTGCTGCCCTTCCTGTGCCAATTGGGTTGACGGTCTGCCTGGCAAGCTCGTGCCGTTTAGATGTCAGCGTACTGAGTTGCTAGCGAAACGCCATTCACTGATGCAGCCAAGGCAGGATCATGCAACTTGCAAGGGTGTGGCGTCCTGGCAATTCGTGCTCAACAATGGACGAGAGCTTGCACTGGCACTGGCGCAAGAGGCACAAAGTTTGCGAATAGAATTTGGGAGAATCGGACACGGACAACCTGTTCGGACACTTGAAAGTGGTCGGGTAGCAGGAAGGACACACCAGAACCCGAAGGTCAGTGGCTTAGCCGTTAGTAGGAACCCTAATCGTAGAGCAGTGACAGGGTAGGGCCGTAACTCTAACAAACCGTCACAGGGAAGTGGCGTAACCCTAACATACCGTCACTGCTTTTTTACTTAACCCTAAAGCACCACGAGTGCCCGGTTGCTTCTGCGGCTAGGTACCGCACGAGAAGCGACGGTGCATACCGTGCGCTGCCATATTTGGTCCGGTACCGTCCGAACACGATTCTCCCGAATTCTGTTCGCAAACTTTGTACGTTTTGCGGCACTGGCAGTTCAGCTGTGATGTGTTCGAGAGCTAGGACATCCGGGGAGTGCTTTGCGGTAGAACCCCTAGACAATTCCGCGTAAAGATCTATAGCTGGGTACACATTCCTTACTCTCTAGGTGTTCGACCCACCAGGTGAACACGCTCGCAAGCTGCAATGAGCTCAAGCTAGTAGTACCGTAGAACTTTTAGTTCAAGTAGAAGTGTCTTCAGACTCAGTGTCACCAGCTTCACCAGGAAAAATGCCCTCAACTTCAAGCATGGCCGGGCAGTAGTAGTGGGGACATGGTAGACAATCGCATGATGATGGCGCTCGTGAACGTTGGGAGGGCGCTCATTCATTGAAAAGAAACGGTTATGCAGAGGCCCAAGGTCCTCGGTCCTCCAAGAAGAGATGCAGGGAAGCGTGGTGATGAGCGGGACATTGGGTGCCCCAACTTCAATGTGGGAAGCAAATTTCAAACATTGAAAGCTAGCACATGAACGCCTGCCACATAGAACATGTGAGAGACGACGCGCTGTCGGCTGAAAACAGGCTTATAGCCGCAGAGCAATAGCCACCCTCCAATTGAATGTGGTGCCATTTTTAGGGATTTTCTTGCATTTTTGCTCACAACATCATGCACCGATCAACCCTGATTTAAGATCTTCGAACCATTTCATGAACTGGGACTGCTAGGCATTTGAATTGGTGTTTCAAGCAGTGTTCAGTGTTCTGATTTGTGGTTTGTCTGGAACCCCTCCGGATACGCCCCATTGTGTTGGACTCCAACCACAGCATCTGGAAAGTCCAGCCGCGTCGTGACAATCATGGGCGCTGCAGAATCAACCTCAGTGCTGGAAGATCATCAGCGCCTGATAAACCGCTTCACGGGAAAAGATGCCATTCCACTGGATGATGCATTTTGGAACGAGCTTCTCGCATTCCCGTTTCCCCTCTCCAAGCTGAATCCTCAGGAAGTGGATGCCGCAACCCGCCAAGCATGTGCTCAACTAGGTGAGGGCAATTGGGGCAAGCCCCGATATCTCGTCTCATTCCTTACAAGCAACACTCCTCATGTTGGCTGCCCGGGTGGAGGCTATGATGGTGGCAGTTATATCTGAGGCGTTCATCACAAAAGCAGTCGTTCATATTCAGGTTGTTTTTAAGCAAGCCATAATTCCGTGATTCTCTCTCCCCTATTCTGAGGCGTCATTTTCCTGTCGCTGTTGCTGATACGCACGCCCCTCGTGCAGTCCACCACAATGCGTGGACGGGTCACTTCCCCAAGCTGCTGATCCACCTCATCCGCGAGCTGGAGGGCGCGGGGTCCGCCAAGGAGCTGCCGGTGAAGGCGGTGAACACGGTGTACTTCACGCGCCTCTTTGTGAAGCACCTGGTGGAGCTGTACAGCAGCGAGGAGATCGGCCGCCACCTGGTGATGAGGGGGGAACAGGGCGCTCCCGCAGGTGAGGCGGGAAAGAAATGCACGGCATACAGGGCACAGAGGCAGATGGCATGGCGTGGCGCCCTACGATTCAACCTGGCACTTCGTCGAGCATGAATTGAAAATCTTTCTGGGGCACATAGTTGGGTCAAGTTATACCATCCATACACTCAGGAAAGTTTGGCCTACTTTTGTAGTGCCCCTAGCAACTCTGATTCCTTCCTGTACTCACTTCTGGACTTTATGATAATGAGATGTCTGTCTGATCGTGGCCCATTCACCTGTCTATGCAGACTTGCTTCTTCCAACCGTCAGGGCACTCCTCGCTTTCGTCGCCAATACGGAGGTCAGGTAGGTTCCCGTGCCGTTTCCTGATTGGGAACTTTTGCTGTCAAACGCATATGGCTCCTTGACTAAAATGACGGTCTCTCTGAATCATCTGGCCCTACTCTGACAAGTGTGGTATGCTTGACTTTGCTAGCCCCGTGCCTTGATGCAGCGCTGCGCTGTACCTGCTCCAGCTGGAGTGCGTCAACCTGCTCCTCGTCATGTTTGCCACCCAGCTCCACGCCGCCAGCCTGGCCGCCTCCCACCTCTTCCTAGATGCCGCCATGCAGCAGGTAAGGGGAACCTACTCCGAACACCAAGTAGTCATGCAACCCCTCAAATTCTTCACGATTCCCTTGCACAGCCCCAAGAGTGTGGTTGCTTTTTGTGACTTGCCGGCTCAGGGGATCTCAACTGTCAAGGTATGCCTCCTTCGCAAGAGTCCTGAAGCCCGTGATTGTTCCTCGTGTTCCTCAGCACGACCTGGCGGGTCCGTTTGTGCGGCGCCTGTTGCTGCTGTACATGGCGCAGCAACCCGCCCCCGCCCGCCTCCCCTTGTACACGCGCACCCCGGAGGACGGTACAGCCCCGAACGCGGGAGTCCTGCGCAGGGTGGGCTCCTCCGTGGGTAAGATACAGCAGCCCCAGCGGATGCGCTTTACCTGCTTAGCCAGAGGAGTCACGAACGGATCGTTTTTTGGGGATCTGCGCTAAGAAGAGGATGATGTTTACGGTTGGTCGCAATCGCTCCACCAGTTGGGCAACTGAAAGCTGCAAGCAACGAACCGCATACTGCCACAACATGCGGGAAGGTGCTGTAATGACCGTCCTGACCGGGGTCCCGCCCTCTTCTGCAGCGAGCGTGTTCCTGTTGCCGTACACTGCGTACTCGTACCTGGTGAGCCCCCCCGGCACGCCACAGACCCCGCTTGCAAACAACAGCCTGCTGCTGCTACTGGTCCTGGTGCACTTCGGGCACACCAACGCGGCCAACGCGGCACCGGAGGACGAGCACACGGGCGAGGAGGGGGGCGGCGGGAGCGCAGGCGTCGACAACCCCTTCCGGAAAGCGCTCTGCACAGCGCGAGACGCAGACTGTGAGTCGAAAGAACTTACGACCTGGTTCGGCGAGACAGCTGTGAAAGCATAATTTGGGTCGAGCTCCAGGCGACTACATTTGGCAAGGTGCCACAGTGTTTCGACAGGGGCGCACAGCCACGGCAATGACACAGATGTCTGTGTTGATAACTTCGTTTGAGCCAGCTGACGCCTACCCTTTAACCCGTTGCATCCTCTTCCTCGTGTCCAGTTGACGCGGTGGACGCGAGCATGAGCCCGGCGGGTCAGTTCGGGGCGGTGGTGCGCGTGTCGTACGCACGGCTGTACGACTGCCTGGGCGCGTGCCTCAAGGCGGACACAAGCACGCTGCTGCTTTACAGCCTGCTGCACGCCAACCCCGCCTTCCTCGAGTACGTCCTCGTGCGCACCGACCTGGACACGCTGCTGCTGCCGCTGCTGGAGGTGCTCTACTGCGCGGCGGCGCGCACGCCCAATCAGATCTACATGCTGCTCATCATTTTGCTCATCCTGAGCCAGGACGCGTCCTTCAACGCCAACGTGCACAAGCTGCCGCTGACCGGCGTGCCCTGGTACCGCGAGCGCCTCCTGCAGCGCACCTCGCTCGGCAGCCTCATGGTCGTCATCCTCATCCGCACCGTCAAGTACAACCTCTCCAAGCTCAGGGTCAGTGCCAAATCACCCAATGCTCCTCCGTCGAGTGACCTTCAGCTGGTCGAACGGGGTCACCTTTTGTAGGTAGCCTCTGATCGTTGACGAGGACCTGTCTTGATTCTGCTGGCCTTCTTACGAGTAAACCTACATGCTTCCTCCATTTTACTGGCGCTTGCTACCATCTCAGTTCCGCAGGAATTTTCTTAAGGATTTTTGATGCTTCACGAATATGGTGTTACGACGATGGAGTATTTTTCTCGTGTTGGTCGCTTGCCGTTGTGTTTCGCTGAGCCCACTCGTTGACCGAAGTCGTTGAGCGGCTGCCCACTTGTTTCCTGCGCAGGACGTGTATTTGCACACCAACTGCCTGGCCACGCTGGCCAACATGGCCCCCCACGCGCACCACCTCAACGCCTATGCGGCGCAGCGCCTCGTCAGCCTTTTCGACATGCTCGCCAAAAAGTGAGGGCGAGATGCGCGCCATATGGCCTCGCCCTCTACCTGACCTTGCGGCTTGCTTCTTGATTAAGCCTGAAATACCACCGTCGCCTCAAACCACGGGGTGTGCAGAAAGCAGCTAACTGCTTGAGTAGGCAGTCCTTCAGTACGACCAATGGGAACTTGTACTTTGAGGAGAAGCCAGGCTTGTTGCGAAAACATGATTCGAGCATTCACGTTTAGGCTTCACCTCACTTTGCGCCGCCTGGTTGTGGTCCAGGTACACGCGGCTGTCGGATGCAGCGGCCCGCGCCGGCCCCTCCCCGGCGTCCCTCGCCTCTGGCGGCCCCTCGGCTGCTGCGCCGGAGGCTGGCGGCGGCGAGGGCGCGGAGGGCGTCCCAACGGAGCTGCACATCTACACCGACTTCCTGCGCATCGTGCTCGAGATCATGAACGCTATCCTGACGTACGCCCTGCCGCGCAACCCCGAGGTGAGGAGCCAACACGCCGGAGAAGACTCAAAAGAACGCTAAATAAGATGCGGCCCAGTACATTAAATATGAAGGAAGTCAATCTTTAGGAGCCAGGGAGAACTTCCGAAAGCTGCGTCAGGGCAGTGTCCAGTTGGTGCCTTTTGACAGCGTGTTCCATAGCCACTTCGAGAGGAAGGCCCTCACTGTAAGTCGATGCCGGCCGTGGTCTGCCCGCAATAGATACAGAGGGATCGGACGCAAGCGATGGAAGCCCTTTTGGGAGTTGCTGGACGAAGCGGGTGCGTCAGCCACTTGCCCAGGTGCTGCTATGCTTGCGGGTCGCTCCTCTGCACGTGCTCGTTACGCCAGCTAAATCTGCGCTGCTGCACCTCTGTGCAGGTTGTGTATGCTCTCCTCCATCGACAAGAACTCTTCCAACCCTTTCGAAACCACCCTCGCTTTTACGAGCTTTTAGAAAACATTTTCACGGTAAGGACTTTTGGCAGGACCTCGTCTTCAGACAGGCACCAAGCGCTTCTTGGCGGGTCCCTTGTTTAGAGGCGTGCTTGGTCGGACTCGATGCAGTTGCGTATTCAGAATCTTGTGATGAAGCTTGAGCGCTGGTGCTGGTTGTTGTGGCTCTTGACGGCGGTTTCAACGCCGTTGCTGCTGTCGCGCGCAGGTGCTCGACTTCTTCAACGTGCGCATGGACGACTCGCGCCTCAGCGTGGGCGAGGTCAGCGTGGAGCGCGTGCTGCAGGTCGTCGTCGCCAACGCGCGACAATGGCGAGGGGAGGGCATGAAGGTACGCCCGCGCCCCGCCCCGCCTCGCAAATTGCCTTCCAACGGAAGACCGCTGGTGTCTTGATCCAGTCGAGCCGCTCTCTCACCTTTCTGATGCCTCCTCTCGCCTTCACCATTCCGTTGGAGACTTGTGGATGGCACAAGCATCTCTTTTCGTTCCGCAAAAGACTGAGCCACCATGATGGAGGACTCATCCAGCAAGGCGGAAGAAAGATCAGAGCATTCTGTCGAAGTCAGTGGCGCATGCTGCGGTCCGTCAAATTGAAACTAGTCAAATACAGTTATGCTCAAGCGATACTGCGTTCACACCTCTCGGCAGATGTTCACGGAGCTGCGGTTTACGTACGAGGAGGAGCTGCACCCCGAGGAGTTCTTCATTCCGTACGTGTGGACGCTGGTCGTAGCGCAGAGCGGCATCCCCTGGGACCCCGGCTGCATCACGCTCTTCCCGAACAGCCAGCACGCAGACCTACAGCTAGAGGACATCCAAAACCATGATGCTTACGACGTGGGTTACGATGCAGCTTCGGACTATGCGGACACGCCACGTGAGTCAGTATAGGTTGCAACTGTGCTCGTCGCAGGTCGATCGAAAGCGTTTGGGAAGAACGGGGCTTATACAGCACTTGAAGATGAAGTAGGATAGGAGGTTTGTCTCCTCTCCTTTCAAGTGCAAATAATGTTGGCTGGCTGTTGACATCAACTGCATGACCCCAGCACGGCCTTTCAGAGCTTATCGACCTGAACTCGGAAGTATGTACACTTACCTAGTGCAGGCCGCAGTGTAAGGAGGGTGCTCTAGAACGTGCCTGCTCATACCATCATGCGGCGGCCCGTTCTGGTTCTTGAGAATGACTCAGGAATTACACTCAGTGTCACACGAATTGGCTCTTGGGCCATGTTGACCAGAATTATGTCTACTGCCCAGTACTAACATCAATGCAACAATGATGTCGGATGGGCAGCAGGCCGGTGCGACATTTACCTGCGGCATGGGCGCGCTGAACGCAGTACATTTCAATGGTTGCGTTGGAATGCGGGTCCATAGTCAGATTTGATTGCATGGATCTGGCGAGCAGCCGCCTAAAAGTTATGATGCAGTATATGTAAGCTACATCGACTATGCATGTCGGATTTGCGAGCGCGGCTGCCCAGCGCGCGCCGCGCCGGGGACCGGGAACTTGAGCTACTGCTAGACCCATGTGCACTGAGCACCGGCAAAACTTGAATACCGTACTCCTCGGTGATCATTCCGAATGGAATTTCCTAGAAATATTTTCCATGCAAGAATCCGACCACGTACACAGGCGGCTAGCTCTGGTGAATTATCTATGGTGATTCCGACCAAACAGATCGAATCCGAATACCTTATGTTTTACACTAGGAGAAGGGTTTCAAGCTAGGCTGATTTTAGCGGTTTCTCGGCTTTAATTCAACTTAACTCTTAGTTTAATTTAACCTTTCCGAATTTGCACTTTCCGACCGAATGCAAAACCCGAATTTCTGATCCTCTCCGCGAATGCAGATAATTGTATTTATAATTTATTCGGAATAATCATGCCGGGGAGTACGGTATTAGCTGCCGCCACTGAGGCTACATAGGCGGGCGGGCTGCAGACCATGCGCAGTGCGTGTCGCACTGAGGCTAGCGCGCCACAGCTGCACATATATGCCGGCCACGCACAGAGAAACCGCCATGGGCCAGCACCTCGTGTGCCAGATATCCGACTTCGATTGCGGGGCAAACGCGTCATATAATTGCAGGGCACAATCAATCACGGCCGGAGTCCGTCTCAATACTTTCAATGCATTATAAAAGCTCACATGCCATGATTCTATCAGGCAGCGCCGCGCAGTTATTGCCCGGCCGGCAGCTGGCAGCCAGCTAGGCTCAGCTCAGGCTGTCAGTGTCTTGTTTACAATCCAAGTATTCACGTGCTGCTTTCAACTGACCACATATGCGGGCGGCCGGCCACAAGAATGAGGGTTCTGCATGCTCGGAGTTCGGTCACCCCGGTGCCTGGGGCTTCAAGCAGGCTGCACGTCACATGGCACTGCAGTCGCACGTACACGCACGGGCTGGCGAAGGCAGGCGAGTGGCAAGTGATGCACCAGTGCGGACGGTGTGTCCCCTATATGGGATCGCTCAATTTGAACACCTGCGATAAGCTTTCGGCAGGCTGCTTCGAACATTGAAGCGGGATACTGCTAGTCAGCATGTCTGCACAAACAGTGGCCCGACCGAGCAACCTTGCGAACGTGACGGGTCAATACCAGACGCCTCAAGCAACACATGCCCGTCCTTGCGTTTGGTCGGCTTGTTCTCCGGACTTCAGCCGACGAAAGTCAGTACCATTCAGGTGGAGACGAATGCAGAGTCAGAATGTCCAGGTAACAGAAGACGTATCTGGACGTCAAGCTGCTGCACTTTCGTGTTGGACCATAAGGAGTTGATTACTTTCGTCTAGCCGCGCGAGGCTTTGGCCGCGTTGCCTGCATCCAGAGAAAGCGACACGTATTGTGATGAGGGCGCGGGCTGTGATACAGATTTGCGTCGCCAACGATTTCAAGAAAGCTCGTCAACCCACCAAGTCCTCTAACATCGACAATTGAAGGAGTCAGCACAGTTCCATTTTGGGCAGTTTGCAATCTGGCTCTGGTCAGCCGCTGTCCGACCAGGGCAATGCACTCACCGTGGTTGGGGGCGCCTGCAGACTCCACGCAGGAGCGGCTCCAGAAGCAGGTGCGCCTGGACCGAGGGGAGGAGCGCTTGACAAGGGTTCGAACTTCAAAATGGGCTCGAACTTTTTGAAGTTCAGAGAAGGACTCTGAGTCGCAGGGCAACGCCCCTCAATCATGAAGCACAAACGTGTTGCAGATTCGTTGGCAATACGGAACCAATCACGCCGGGTTCACCGCGTTTACTGTGGTTGGCTTACCGAAGGCCGGGGCAGGGGCTGTGGCCGGAGTTGTCGGAGTGGCGGCGCCAAAGGCTCCCCCGAAGGCCGGGGTGGCGGGGGCGGCGGCGGCCGCGGGGGCGCCAAAGGCCGGAGTCGACGAAGGGGCGCCTGCAAATTGAACGAGACACTGGCGCGGTCAAGATTTTGAAAGCAGAGTCTGCTTACTTACAGGAGCTTTGAGCTTTGGTCGATGTAACCCGGTGGTAACTGGGCGAGGCTCCGGCCCATTTCGTTGCCTTGGTAGAATCCGTGCGTGCGAGCGCTTAAGGATCAAATGACCCTGGGGCGGACGGGCGAGCCCAATACCAGCATTCTGACCCACGGGCGTTAACTCTACGCATTATTGCAATTTGACCGAAAAGCGCACGGGGCAGAAAACGGGGTGGAAGCCGGCACAGTGCACGTAGATTGTTTCCATGGAAGCGTCCAAACTTGCGAAGCCGGATGCCCTTTAACGTACGTTCCCTCCTTCCACTCAGAGAAGAGTCCAGCCGAGGCCATTAAAGCCGGCCCTACCCAACACAACGGCCCGGCCCTGATCCACTGAACGAGCAATGACAATCCAGCTTCGCCGCAGCATGCTGACAGGGCCACGAGTCCCGTGCCCTCTGCATACTAGGATCTCGGCACATAAGCCAGGCTCACCGAAGATGCTAGGGCTGGCAGCAGCCGACGGCCCGGGGGTCTGGGTGGGCGCACCAAACAAGCCCCCCGTCCCAAACGAGGGGGCCGTGGTGCTAGCTGCAGAGGGCCCCCCGGTTGCGAGCCCACCGAACAAGCTCCCCCCCGAGGCCGCTTGTGATGGGGCCGGTGTGCCGAACAAAGATGAGGTCGCGGCAGCGGTAGGGGCGAAGAACGAGGGAGCCGCTGCTGACGTGGCAGGGGTGGAGAAGAGAGACAGGCCAGTGGATGGGGCCGCCGCAGCCGGCTGTGGAAAAGGGAGACGGGTGAGCCAAGCTCTTCGGAGAGGAAAATACTGGCCCCGCTAGCAAACAACAACAGTGCAAGCCTCGAATGAGGGCTTTTAGATCAAGTCGAGAGACGATCCTTGAAGATATTGTTCGTTTTCACCTGCTCTTCCGGACAGCGCTTCCTGGCTATCTCCCATTCTTGCAGTTGTTCACTTGGATGTATGCTTCCATGCACCACGACGTTATGACGTGCGTTACATGCCGCCAGCAATCGTCACTGCATGACGGAAGCTTTCGCATGCCCCTATGCCAACCGCACCGGAGAATCTGCTAGGCAGTGGGCGTGCCTACCTGCTGCGCTGCTGCTTGTGCTTGTTGCAGCCCCGCCGTCGCCGCTGCCGGCTGCTGCGGTTGTGCGGCCAGGAGTGCCGCCTGCGCTGCTTTCCTGCGGTTCTCTTCGGTCTGCCGCGTGGCCTCTTCGCGGCGGTCCGCCTCCAGGAACGGATCCCGCTCGTCCCCGCGCCGCCGCAACTCCGCCAGGTGGGCGCCGCGGGCAGCGCTGATGTGGGCGTGCAACGACTCCACCTGGGACAGGACGAGACAAGCGCTCAAGACCAACTCCACCAGAGTCGCGTGCGCAACTCGCGTATCATTACGTCGGTGTTCTTGTTTTGATCACCTTGACCGTCGCTTTCCTGATGTTCCTTGGGGTCTGTCGCTGTCCCTATACATGTACGAAGCCGTTCCTTCGAAAACGTGCAGCAGGAAAGGCGGCGATAGATCGCAACGTGCAGCATCCCTGCTCGAACAGGGCATTCGGCTCCAATCCGTGTCCCCGACCACAGATCCCGCAGAGTCATTCATTTTGTCTGGCCTCGCCCGAGAGTACCAACTGACCTGCGCGGCAACGTGCAGAAAGAAGGTGTGCACGTTGTGCAGCACGGCAGGCAGCGCGTGCTCCAGCTGGTCGCGGCCCTGCGCGGCAGGCTGCTGCAGCCGCTCTAGTTCCTCCACCCGCGCACGATATGCCGCCAGGCGCGCCTCAAACGAGGATACGGCCGAGGAGAGGTAGGGGGACGGCAAGGAGGGGATGCCGCTGCAGGCAGAGAGCATGACGTCATGAGTGAGCACAAAACAAAAAGAAGGTTACTTCTTGCAAAGGGGGCGCGAGTGACAGTGAACAGCATCGAAACTCCTCAGCTTAGGAGGGTATCTGCAATTGTGCAAGTTGTGGAGGAAGAGAGTCACACGCACTTTGTAAGGCCAGCTTCTCGAGATTGCAACCAAAAGAAGCCAGATGCATGGCAGCAATGGCGGGTGGGCACTAAAGTCAGTCAAGGTTGGCCTTCCAGGTTGTGGGGATACATCTTGTATGTTCAAACTCAGACTGCAACCGATTGCAGGGCTGTTCCCTACGACACTTGCCTGTAGAACGTTTCCAGTGCTGGCTGCTGGGCCGCACCCCCGGGAAGCAATGCGGTGCGTGCAAAGCGGTGGCGTAAAATAAGGAATGAGCGCACAGCCGTCTCCGTGGCAGCTAGCAACTCCTTGACGGACGCAAACAGGGACGCCAGGGAGGCCTGCTCCGTGCGGATGGCCACCGAGAGGCCCCCCAACAGCTGAGGCCAAAACGGGAAGCAAGGTTAAGACATTTGGCGACAGGGCTAATGGGTTGACAAGATGTGTGATTTCAGCCAAGAGTCCAGACTGAGACGTGGGGCAATTGTTCAGTGCAAAAGAAGCACGCACAGAAGCAATGGTATCTAGCTTTAACAGGGACAGCCGTTGACCACACAAAGAAATGCTGATTCAATGAGTGGGCAATTCCAGGACCTTTGAGGGCTCGCTGAGGCACTCCTTTTTTGAACGGATTCTACCCCGCATCCTCCACATATGAGACTGTCAAAAAATACTCTGTGCAGTGGCGCTCATTCATGACCTTACCTGGCGCACAGTGGCTGCCTCGTCATCAAAGCTTCGCTTGAGGGCGCTTGCGTCGTACAAACGAGCGCACTGGTCCAGTCGCTGGCTCTCATCCCGGTACTCCAAGATGCGCGCTCTGCAGCAACCAGAGGGGGGGCCAAGGATGGTGCTTCAGTAACCATAACCCAAACTTTACTGATGCTTCCTTCCGTCAGCAACCCGTGAGTATCCATCAGGCACCTCAAGCGACCGCGCAAGCAGGCCATGCGTTTGCCCGCTCACATGCCCATGAGCCGCTACTCTCTTTCAAAATAAGCCATTGTCGACCGTGCTGATTGATTGCAGGCCATACAGACTCGATGCAGGGGTGGTGCGCCTCACTCGACCTGCTGCAGGAGGCGCTGCGTGTCGGGGCTGAGGTCATCCCACTTGGTGCTGAACGTGGCGGGCCCCCCCGCCTTGGTCACCAATTGCAGCTGTCCACCTGCAAAGGCAGGCAGCCTTTGATATAGCGCAACAAGCGGAATAAGGCGTCACAGAGGGGCTCCGCGTGACTTTGCAGAATGGCGCTCAGCATGGCCACTTGCATTCGCCTACTTCGGCAAGTGAGAGAAATGGGGAGGAAGCACAACACGATGGGGACCAGAAAAAGGACTGCCTGCATGAGTTGACTGTATTTGCTGTGCACAACTCAGTCTGGGCTCAGAGTGGGCAGGAAAGAAACGTCCACAACAAATCACACTCCAAATGATTGCATGGCAATGTCCACACGTAGTAGTGTCACCTGCTTGGTGTTGCAATGCGAGGGCCTGCTGCTGCTGCTTCTGCTGTGGGGCGAAGAGGCTGGTGCCAACAGACTGCGCTCCGCTCTGAGAAGCAGCGCCCGTGCCAAAGCCGAAGAAAGACATTGCTGGTGCCACTAGGGAAACGACTGAGCAGCACGTGGAGAGATCATCAAGCAGATATCATGGGACCCCGTGAATCGCGACCGTCCAATGCCGTTGCGTTTCCACCAGACCTTGAGCACCCTCTAAAAGGCAGCAGGAGATTTGCGCGAGCTCCTGAGTACGTGTTTGAGCGCCCAGAAGTAGAACCTAGTCCCTAGAAAATACATAGAAGATGCAGAAATGCATGAAGCAGATTGAAGGGATGAGCTAGGAGAGTGCCAATCTCTCTTGGACTTTGGCCTTTTGAAGTTTAGGGTCTGTTGCACAGTGACACAGGAAGTGACCTCTAGCGTTTCCGTCAACAAAAGTCCTAGCCCGATCTAGGGTTAAACCCTACCGCCCGGGTTCAAGTTAGCCCCACGTGTGGAATTAAGGATTTGGGGGCACATGTGTGGAGCTAAGCACCTCTGACACCGACAGGTGTCCAGTCACAGCTGCTTGGGCCATGGCTGCAAAGAGAAGTCCAGTGCATGGCTCGGTCAGAGTCGTCAGACTCATGGCCGGGCAGCTCTAGTAGCCGTCCATGGCGGGGTTTGCAGCAGCAAAGGCCACGCACAGGGAGTACGGAGCTAGTAGTAGTACTGAGGGTGAGGGAGTCTTCCTTTGTGATTGCTCAACGGCAGTGGGCACTGTGAAGGGCAGTCTCAAGGTGCAGAAGCCTGGAAAGGTTGGGTCCTTGCATGCCAATGTCCGCTGGTCCATTTGGCATGTATTTGTAAGTCAGTACTGTGTCGTCCCTGAGCTCTGATTCCTGTTCTTGGGAGCTTTCAACGGCTGTCACTTTTTCCTGAAAGTTTGAGGTGCTCCGCACTCCGGTTTAAGGGTTGGCAAGAATCTAGGGTTGCCCTCCGTTGCTCTTGCTGGAAGGTTTCAAGAAAAGATGACTCTCACGACTGATGTCGTGGGATCTTTAGTTTACAAAACGAATGCAATCTTGTTGCTCTTATTCTTCATCGCTGTGCCGAATCCCAAGCAGTGGGCAGGCAACCAATGTCAATATGACCCGTAACCTGAACAAAAACACTCCGGGCCGGTCTTTACTGCCTGATCAGGTTTCATTCGACTTTTTGCATGTCTGCTGTGGACATGAAATGCACGGAGCCCCCTTCATTGTTGACAAGCAGCGTCATCATCGCAGCAATGACCAAACCCTCACATGAAACCCTCAAATGGAACCCAAGCATCGTCGCCTCCTCACTTCACCCTTGCTTTGAGCCGCTACGAGGATATTCCGAGCACAAAGTCTGCAACTTTCTTGTTCAGGGTTTGCATTGGGCCTCTTCCTCTATGCCTTTTACCTCAGTCTGACTGGTTGTTCTAACTGTGCAGCCCGGCGCCCCAGTTTGCTGCCTCCCCACTTCCTCCAAGCTGACCAATGCATCTTGAAACCTATGAGAGCAAACCTCCGAACAATGTGGCCGCTTGATCACGCGCGCATCTGAAGTAGCAAGTAGACAATAGGAAACCAGGATGATGGCTACGCTCGGTGGATTTAGCAGAGACGCGTAGTGGCCGGAACGAGGGTTGCGGTGAGCCAATGCCCCGCGGCAGCCCCCCGTCTGACGGGGCGTCCTCAAGCAGTGTTTCCCTGGCGGGCTGGGCCGGTATTTGGGTGGGCGTTCTCGTGCTAGCCATGGTGGGCCTCGGGTGCGTGTTCTTCCGGAGGCGCAGAAGGAGGGGTGAGGACAAACCAGCAAATCAGTTCTCTACTTCCACACCCGCACATGCCTCTGTTGGCATTCAAGTTATCACACATGTCTGGCCAGGTTTATGAATTTTGAACAAGTCGACAAGCACTGAGGCTGGGCTGGTTCCGGTGTATACACTTTTTTTTCAGTCCTTGTGCCCTCTGGGCTTTAGATTGTCGCCCGTGGCCTGACATGATAGTGGCAGCTCATTGCTTCTCTCAGCAGGTCCGATATTGCCAGACTCTGACTTTTCTCATCAACATGGGTGCCTACGTGGAACCGGGTCGTCACTCTAACGATGCCGCTGCCATTGTGTTGAGCGCAGTCACGCTCTGAACGCTCTGCCTTGACCCGCCACACACATGGCTCGTTCACCTCTCACTAAGTGAGTGAAGACATGACCTGCTTATGAAGCTCACAAAACTTTGCGCAACAACTGACGCTCCTGCTCCCTCCCAGGTGCGCGCCAGGCTGTGGCTCACCACCCCCCCGCGCTCCTCCCTGCTGTGGCGCCTGCCGCTCTCTTGACAGGCCCATCGGAGGGGTCCGAGGTGGTCATTGATGTGGATGCCCCTGCCGCGGGCAGCCCCGAGACGCTGCTGTCGATTGAGGAAGTCTTGGCGCGCGAGAAGGAGCTCTCTGAGGAGCGCCTCTTCCAGCTCAAAAGGGACTGGCTTCTCAGGTGCGGCCACGCCTACTTCTCTGGACACATTCTGAATTTGTCGGCGGAGAACTTAAGGGGCCGCTGATTGTCAGGGAAGACGCTCAATCTGGTAGCTCTGAGCCGTTGCTTCATCTCATTGTCGCTCAAGCTTGGCTGCTGCTCGAATGCAGAGCTGCTGAGAAAAACCTGTAGTCACCTGTCTTCTGAGTCCCGGCAGTAATCAGGTTTGTTCTAGCAAGCAACGGAAGAGTGCAACGTGGTTCTGATGTTGAGGTTGGTGCTCTCTTTTGCCCCAGCGTTTTTCCGCCAGTTGGGAAAGTTTTGCGGCTTTGTGAGGGTCTGATTCCCAGCATTGCCTATCTCGTCAAAGACCCACCGTTTCACCGCAGTAATGTTCCTTACCGAGGTGTTGCCGCTTGGATGCAGGGAGATCACTGCGCGCGCCGCTAAGCAGGACGTTGGGCCTGAGCGGCGAGCCATAATTGGCAAGAACGGCAAGAAAGTGCTGCCAATTACAGTCAGCAGGGAGCGAGTCTTCCAAGACTCATACGCGCAGGTAAGCATCCGGGATGCGTTGGACCCCATTAACTCCCAATGCTTCATGGTTCATTATACCATGAGCCACGGTGGCAATAAACAATCATGTGTTGTTTGCTTTCCTTTTTCCTTCAGTGTTACGGCACGGACCTCCAGGACACACTAAACCTCCCATTGGGTATCCTTGCAATGCATGATGGCTTTTTACGAACAAAGGTTACAATATCAGCCCCGTTTGCTGTGCCGCAGTTTGCGTGGGTGACGGATGCGGACCTCAAGCTGCCCGTAAGCGTGCACTTCCAGAACGAGGCTGGGCGCGACGAGGGCGGCGTGACGCGCGACTGGTACAGCGTGCTGAGCCGCCAAATGTTTAACGAGGATTACGGCCTCTTCACCGCCTCCGCCTCCGACGACGGCACCTTCCAGGTCAACCCCAACTCGGGGGTCAACCCCGACCACCTTGACTTCTTCAGGTGCGTGCGTTGCTCAAGGGGGTGCACAATTGTGGATGCAAGTTGGTCATGACAGGGTGCGAGGCACCATTCGGGCCGTGTAGGTAGGTTTTGACACCAGACGACGCACGCTGTTGATGATATGCTTATTGTTGCCGTACCTGTGAGGAAGCGGGTGCTTTCAAGACGTTCGTATTATGGCAAGGCACAAAGACTTAAGGAATAGCTTTCGCTAGCTATCACCATCTCAGATTAACTTGAAATGACAAGCCGAAAATTGTGGATTCGTTGTTTCCTGGGATAGTCACCCCCGTGCCAAGTGCCCTTACCCCTCTGACGTCGCTGTGTGGCGCTCAGGTTCGTGGGCACGATTGCCGGGAAGGCCGTTGCGGACGGGTGCTTGCTAGGGGTGCACTTCACGCGGCTGTTCTACAAGCGGGTGCTGGGCCGGCCCGTCACCTACCACGACATGGCCAGCCACGACGTCCAGTTCTACAAGTCGCTCTGCTGGGTGAGGCGCCTTGAAGCTTGCTCATCGTCCACCGGTATGTCAGTCTGATGCTCTTGGGAGTATACAAACTTTTGCTGCATATTAGACCCGAAGTCGGCCGTCATTGTCCCTCCCAATTGTCCAGCACAAAAACATATTTCGAGGAGTTGCCCCCGAGAACGTGAAGCCTTGACCTCTTCTTTAGACGAATATCTGATTAAAAAAGCACCCTCTATGCTATAGGGGCTGAACACCCTGGGCATGGAGGCACGATGTAAGGGGACATGCTGGAGCGAAGCGTTAAGAGGGTGCCAGTCACAATCGCGCCGATTTGCGCTGTGCTCCGAATGCGAAGGCCACTCGCTTTGGCTAAGCGCCAGGCACCTCCAAAGTACGCCAGACTCGATCGTAGATAGGACAAGCTTTTGCTCCCTTCCACTACTACAGCTCAGTTGTTCCTACCGGGCGCCTCTTGTCTTGACGCTTGTGGCCCTGCCATTGCGCAGGTGATTGAGAACGACCTGTCGGAGCAGGACCTGGGGTTGACGTTCAGCGTGGAGCGCGAGGCGTTTGGCGCGTACGAGGAGGTGGAGCTGAAGCCGGGGGGCCAGGACATGCCCGTCACGCAGGACAACAAGCGCGAGTACGTCGACCTCCTCGCAGAGTGGCGCCTCAAAGGTACGCGCGCGCAGCACCGCCCGCAGCCACCTGGGAGCGGCTCGTTCGGTCACTCTCGCGGACAGCTAGACGGGACACTTGTTGCTCGAAGCTTGGGATGTGAGTGGCAGCCCGACGGTTGTACTTATTGGGAAAATGTATCCTTAAGAAATGTGCGATCCCGTAGCTTCGCTGAGAAGGGGCGATTCCGCATCACCTCCACGCAGGAGTGTTGCAGAAGTTGTTGAATTCTGTTATGCCAGTAGATCGCCGCTGCTACGCTGCTGGCTGCGCAAAATTACCGGTCCAAGAGAGGGCAGTTAGTGCAACGTCAAGCGCTCTTTCCTCACTAGAAGCGCCCGGCCCTGCCTTCTATCTCACCAATAGATCAGCAAGCACAGTGAACAGTAACTGGGACGGGAGGGGTTACTTAGCTGGTTGTGGTGCCCACAGGCGCGTGCGCAGAAGAGTTTGACGATTTGAAAACCTACTGTTCAGTGTGCTCACCAATCACTGAATTGCGGTATCATCGGCCCTGCGGCCCTTGCTTACTGGCCCATAATCGAAACTATCTTCTTCGCCCGTCCTGTCCAGACTCGGTGGAGCCCCAGATGGCGGCGTTGCGCGGCGGGCTGTCGCGCGTGGTGGCGCTGGAGCTGCTGCACCCGTTCGACGAGTGCGAGCTGGAGTGGCTGGTGGGCGGCCTGCCGCACCTGGACCTCGGCGACTGGCGCGCGCACACCGTGTACAAGGCCGGCTACACCGACCAGGTCGCCATCATCATCTGGTTCTGGCAGGCAAGGCCCGACGCCCCAAACAAGATCCATTATGTGCGATCGCCCCAGCGCTCACATCCGACCTACAGATTTTCATCACCTGAAATGCCACACAGGAGCGATGCATACCACGATCCCGGCTTCCTTGATTTAAGAACGCCGTGTGCCTCGATTGTCACAAGTTCACAAGGCCGTTATACCCTTTATCCTCGTGGCCGAAATTCATACTGGCCTGATCTGGCTGGCGCAATGAGCTTGAGCATTGTTGGTGCTTCTTTCGTATGCTTCCTCCCTTTTGCCAAGGCTGCACTGATTTCGGCTTTGGTTCCCACTTTGTATCTACACCCCTGCCACTCTCCAACGGTCCAACACAAGACAATCTGAGTCGGCAATGCTTGGCTCATTCCTCCAGCTGCTAATGGTGACTGTACTGCTGCGCAGCTGGTGGAGTCGTGGGACGAGGCAATGCGCGCTCGGCTGCTGCAGTTCGTGACGGGCACGAGCAAGGTGCCGTATCCGGAGGGCTTTGCGGGGCTACGCGGCAGTGACGGCCTGCGGGCCTTCCACATCGTGCGCGTCTCCGACATTACGCGCCTCCCGCAGGTACCGCCCCAAGCTCCGCGTCGGGCACGCAGATGCTAGCGCTTCGTTTCGCCTGGATGTCAAGCATGGTGCGAAGTTTGCTCCTGATCTCTCTAGGAAGTCTGCGACTCTCTTTGGGGCCAGTAGTTTGGGGGGCGATGGGGTCTCAGTCTTGAGTCCTGAGGCTTGCCACGCATGTAAAATGCCACTGGCGTAAAATGTTGCCAGCGGTTACTCACAAGTAATTAGTGCAGGACATGCTTTTTCATAGTAAGCGTTGGACAGTCCAATAACGTCACTTGAAGACGACGCTCGTAGAACGGGGCTTCTTGGACAGCACATAGTCCTGGGTGTTCAGCGGCCTGACTATTGTGTTCAGCATCGTTCCAGCTGCTGTTTCAGCAGCCTTGTTGGTTATGCACGGATAAGATTTCGATTTTGGCTTCTTCGCGCAGGCACACACCTGCTACAACGAGCTGCTGCTTCCCGACTACGACACGTTTGAGGACCTGAAGCGGTCCCTCGTCACCGCCATTTTTGAAACAGGCAACCAGTTCCTGCTCAGGTGATGGCGCGGGCCGGCACAAGCGATGGGACGCCGTGTTTGTCAAAAACAGCTTGCTTTGTGTACAAATGGCAGAGCTCGGAACTTGTATTCGACAGTATTATAGATGTACATTAGAGAGTCGGGCAGTAGCGCCGCACATAGCATATAAGACGCAGAGCAAGTTTCGCGGACGGACAGGACAAACAATCAATGATTGCGGGTATAGGGACAAGCGGTACTAAATGCGATGATTGGAGGGTCGGCAGCATAATCAGGTCTTTGAGGACGCTGTGCCACTTGAGCACTAAGCTCAACAAGTCACGGGTGTTGTAGTTCTTTCAAGCTTTGCGGTGTTTAGCAGTGAGTTGACGTCCATGTATGGTAATTTCCAATTTATAACATGTTATGAATGCAGCTCGTGCAATCAGGACCGCAAACTATCTTACGTTTTAGTAATCTCGGTGACCTACATCACGAGCCATATGCAAAGACGCTACATGCTGGCATTTTGGGCAGCCCGGCCGCGGCCTGGCCCGGCCACGCTTGGTGCTTTCAAATTATAGTGAGCTTAAAAACCTATAACTGATTGAAGTTGGCAGGCGGCTAGGTGCGCGGCGCCCGATGCAGCCCTAAGTTTGGCCGCCCCAGCCTCCTGACGATTCTGACTCCTGAATTACCTGGCCCGGGCGCGCATGAGTCCGACGGACGTCGGCCAAGTGCATGGCGCGGTGACCGACGGTATTTCAAGAACGAAGTTCGGCCACAGTCGAGCGCGGCGGCCGCGCATTTTGGCCCGAGCCTCAGGCGCGGCCGCGCTCGCGGGGAGGTTTCACCGCCGAAGTTTGCGTCGATGTTGGTCGATCCGATGGGACTGTAGGCTCCAGGTGGCAAGCACACATCGGATTTCTGGAGCTGTACGGACTTCTTCTCGTCAGGTGGTGCGCTGCCGGCAGCTTTCACGAAGTCCCCGGTCGAAGGTCCTCGGCGCCTACCACTGATAACTTTGGCCGGTACACTTCGCCCACAAAATTACGGCAGCTCTCGGTGACGAGTCACCGGTTAACTGTATCCCACCGGGGATCCCACCCATGTAAGTGCTCGGGGCATGTACAAAGTCGACAATTGAACGAACCTGCTAGCTAGGATAGCACCGGCCGTACCGCCGCGCCACTCGTGACTCAAACTTGGCCCCGAGTGACTTGGAAGCAGTGTCTGAACTTCGACGCGGACTTTCGAGATTGTCGGCGCCTGGGCCGACCGTTCCAGTGTTGATCCGGCCGGCTCGTCTCACCACCCCAAATAGGTGCTGTGCAGTGTGCATGAGTCGTGACATACGGTATAGGCCCCTTGATTCTGTCAGCTTTTCGGCCGACGCCCCTCGGTTGAGCCGACCGGGAAGCAATTTCTTCGGCGCTGAGGCTCA